TTCCTAAACATTTTCTATATTTCGTCATAATTTCAACCGAAAAGTATGCTGTGATGCTTGGCAATTAATAGAAAAATTACTGATATCGTAATTTATTTATTAAAATTTTTTTATTTTATTTTTCGACACGGTTGCTCACTTGCACGGTTAAGCATTCTTAAGCAAGGCTGGGTGTTGTCGAAGACAGCTGAAAATGTCTCTAACCCCCCCCCCCCCCTTTTTTTTGTTTCTGCACACATCGTAGAAGACCACACGACCCACAATATGTTTGAGGAAATCCAGCTGTCGAAGAAAATGAGTGCACGAGCCTAAAGCAGCTGGCAGTTAGATCGATATAACGTAGAGTCGAGAAATACGATTGCTATCGGGCCACGAAATCACAGCTGTTTCCGGCTGGACACAAGATATCCTCCCGTTTGTCTTAAGTGGAGGTTGAGGCAAATGTCACCGGAAGCCTGGGGGAATGGGAATTGCTAAATCCTTGAAGGCTTACGATGCGCCTGGATCGCCAAGGTCATCTCCCCCATCATATTCGCAAACGGCTTCTTCACTCTGATTCTTCTGGCGCGTCCTTGATTGCATACGCTCGCATTACAATTGAAATAAAAACAAAATAAACCAGTCTCGAATATCCAAGTTGTATTTTTTTCCATTCTGCAATCAAACCGCGGATGATTAATTTTTCATGCTAACAACTACTCTAGAATGAAAACTATCAACTTTGTTCAATGTACGTCGTGTCGCTCACCTATTGCATTATAAATAAACACCAGAACGAATAAAAAAGAGAAGGGGAGGGAGAAAAAGGAGAAGGAGGAGAAAGATAGAAGGTGGATAGAGTTGCTGGAGGGCGAGAGAAGGTACATCACGTATCCGAGACACGTTCATCGGGGAAGTATAAGGCGTTATCGACCGGGCCATTCTTGCTTGGCGTAAAAAAAGCGTCACGTAAAGCTCGCGTGTCGATACTGATAATTTACCCGTGTGCCCCCGGCATTATCGTCGAGCCTGGACTATCGTTACGATTGTTCAACGCAAGAAATGCAAAACCTCTGACAATACATTCCAACCCCACCCCTCGGCAGTGTCACCTGACTGGGGCTTTGCGTGATATTTTATCATTTGAGAGAGTGAAAAGTGAGTTAAAAATATCGGATACGTGTTTTTCAAGTTGGAAAATGAGGAATACATAACTAGTTATGGGAAATTCGAGATAATTGCTTTGTGACGTCATCAAGCCACGCGAAATGTATGTACTGAGGATTATGTACAGGTGGTGCTAGGGTCGAGTCTAAAAAGTTTTTGGAGGTTCAGAGGGCGGTAGATGTCTCCTGAATGCATCCTTTTTTCAATGTTCGTAAGATTTTCACAAGAAGTGGCAAAACCATTCAAGTGCATTTTCAGAATTATGTGATTATCAATAAAGCATTATTGGATTTAAAAGAAATGATGCACACATTTTTTGCTATGACCTTTTTGGCAGGCTTTCATACGCTCCGCAAAAGGACTTTTTATGTCCTAAGTGCCCGTAATCACGCGAAGCTAACCTCACTTTGTTCGCTAGAATCGCGGATTGTGGATCCAATCCTATCCTATCTATAAAAGGTGATACACCAAAATTAAGTTGGGCGAGAGTAAGATTGGCTAACTTCATGCGTAAGACTTTTCACTCGTAACCCTATTTCTCATTGGTCAATTGGCTACGTCATCATCAACACCACGGAATCAAACGGCGCGCGGAGCGCGCGTTCGGTCTCGTGACATATAATAGTATATGAAACGTGCGCGTTATGGATTTTTTCACTCGTGCTCCCGCCAGCCAAAAAATTCATCACTTGTTGCATAATATACTATTATAAACATATCATTATCTCAGTTAGACTCAGAAATATAGTCATAAACCTAGTCAAGGGCTAAAATGACTAGAAGGCTGTATGAAGGTCATTCGAAGGTTGATGAAGACTAATGAAGGTCTTGTAAGGGTGATAAAGATTGATAAGGATATATAGAGGTCACGTGGGATGAAGCCGATCTGAAAAATTCGTGCTAACTCGTCCCTAGGGATTTTTTTTTCAACCATTCTTTACCTTCAAGTTAGACTCAATTGCCTCCTATCCGGCTATAAATACAAATGAGCAACAACCCGAAGTATATTTGTATCGATAATCTCCCACCGACACTAAAAGCAGCAAAAAGTATCCGGAGTTATCAAGATGAATGTTGGGATGGGCTAACGGAAAAATGCGACGTTTCACCCGGGATACATTTTGAAATCGCCGCGCGTACCAACTGGGAGCCATAATTGCGGAATTTTTTTTTGTGATTCGTGAAGGGTCTTCCACCATTGGGTAAAAGGAGAATGGTGAAGAGTATACCAGCGCCCCTATGCATGTCACGTATTGCACCACCCTGTCTTTCCCTCCTCATTCTAGTGGGTTTTAGTTCCAAAGGGGTGGACGTAACCCACTGGAATACCAGAGACGATGGGAGACAGTGAGAATGCGATAGGAATACGGTAAAATCGGGGGTTAGGCGATTTCAGAAGGGGATCACTAAGGTGGACGTGCGACGCTGGTGAATTTGGATTTTTCATTAATGGAGTACGTGGGATTAACGGGACTTTGTCCCCCTAAAATCAACGTCCTGAGAGTCAGACGGGCTACCAAAATTAGAGAGACTAATGCTCTGTTCAATTTTCATGGCTCATTGAGGAAATTTGATTTTTTCAATGAGTTCCAAAAATGGTTTCTCATTTTCTTTCTCCTTGGAAGACTGCAAATTTAGTTTCAGTGTCTTCGATTTCTTCAAGCGGAATTAATGGATCTGTTTCTCCCTAATTTCAAGGGTCAGGGTTGGCCTTCCCGGCGATCAATCAACGTATACAAGATAGTATGCTCGTAAAATTCTGTAGCCATTGATATTTATGGTGAAATTCTTGGAAGATTTGCAGTCCAGCGCTCCTGCTCTATCTCGACGATTCAACTTCTCACGTGAACGTATTCTCTTTTAATATACCTTGGATAATGCGAATCCAGAGTATACCGTTTTCCAAACGTAAATATTTTTGTCGCGTTCATCGGACTGTAGACCATCACCTCGACTACGTGCTCTACGTGCCGAAGGCCTATCTCGACCATCGTGAAACCGTGACACAGACGGTATATGTATAATACTTGTTTTTCCCTCTCTGGTACAGACCAATAAACCGGTCTGCAAGAAAAAGGGGTACAGTCTTCCCAGCAATTGATGCCAAACGCTTGCCAATTACTCGGGGACATATTCCACCGTTCAGATACCGCGGTTTTGAGGTTAAATCAAACTATCGAGTGTGACGTTTACGGTGACTTTTATTAATCATTCGACCCCTTTTCATATTTTCCGTCGTGATTTTGATGAATCATTGGATGAGTTTGGATTGGGGGATCCTTTGTCGAGATTTATGTGATTTTGTTTTCTCGGTCTTGTTGTATTCGCGGAAAATATTTTACAGAAACTGTATGCGGATTTCACTCCGAATACCGAAGAAACTCGAGAGACGGTGTCCTTTTTTCTACTCGGTTCTTTTCTACGTGAAGTGCATTGGCGGAATATGCGGTTGAACGCCGACTGAATCACAAATGGCGACACTCTAAATTTTTTTTTTCAAATCATGTGTCTAGTTTGCCAATTTTATAAAAATCTTCTCTTCCCGATTCCATGAGTTTCACTGGGAGTTAATTTAAATTTACTATTATGTCTATCAATTGAGTGGGCTGTTAAAAATTTTTCACTTCAAAATCTTCTGCATCCTCAGAGGCCCATAGAATACACTGACGATGAAGAGTAGACTAATAAAATCATACTCCTTATTATTAAGCAGTGGAAAAAAAATCTGCCTCCTGTGAGGTTTGAACTCACGACCCCTGGTTTACGAGACCAGTGCTCTACCACTGAGCTAAAGAGGCTTCCACAATTTTGAGGACGGATTGGGACACTTTGTTCAGCCGTGGCTCAATCGGTAAAGATGTTTGAAATTAAAGCATTTTAAAATCCAATCCATCAACGTTAAATCAATTAAAAATAAACAGCAATCAGCCCTCAAACATTCCCTGAACTCCTGGTAAAAAATTAACAAAATGGAGTGATAAATAACTATAATTAGCAAATCATTATCGCACGTGCTGGCGAACACGTGCTCTCCAAGTAACCGATTCAGCAATTATCAAGCCAAAGCACTTTTCAGCCCTCGAAATAACGCGAAGCGATTTTCACCCTCATGTTCTTCATCACCAAATGCCCCAAGCAATCCGAAGAATTTTCTAGTTTGACGAACCCAAAAATAGTTCAATTGTCCCATAAATCCCATCCAAAGTGACGTAAGGCAGATGTCAGTTGTCACTTCCCGGTTTGCGTACGCGCGTGCCAGAGCTCTGGCCCTCGCTCCATCACGGAAATGAGGGAAGAAAGAGAGCCCATCTTCCTCCCCCGAAACTAAAACGAGAGGAGAAAGGACAGATGTTCCCAAGACTTTAAACATGTAAAGAACAGAGAATTGATTCTCTAGGCCGATCAGCTATTCAAACCCCCCACCTCGACAAAAAAATCGAGGCGCTAATCGCATTGTAGACAAGCAGCTGGTGATTCCCGTGCACCCCTCTCCCATCAACTAAAAAAAAATAGCGACTTCATCAACAATAGAAAAAAAATACAATTTGCAACATTTACCATCCGATTCAGAACCCCCCTCAATTGACCGGATTTATCCGAAAATTTGTCCTTCATTCCCAGGACTGGTGCCCCTATTCAGAGAGCACGGCATTTCCTACCGGTTCAACCTCGGTACATAGAATTACGCCTGTACTCCCTATCGACCTCTTTCCATTACACGAGAGGGGGGTGGGGCTTTCACCCCTTCACCCCGCCATATTCTCCGACCCCCTCACGCCGCACCATCCGTTTTCTTTCTTTCGGTTCGTCTCCTCTCCTGCCGTGGGACCGACCTCCGCTCCCGTACCCTTGAACCTACCAGACGTTCGCAACGTTGCCGACTCTCCCAAGTATGCCGTGCTTTCATCTCAAGTATTTTCATATACTGTGTACCCGACTTCTTCTGCACCAGTGCATGAGACAAGCACAGAGAATGCATGGGGTTTTTGTAAGTTCATAGCCTCGATGAGCCGTTTTTTTGTTAGAAAAAAGTTTTGGGTCCTTATAAAGTCGTGAAGCTCCCTATCTATCAATCCTAAATTGTGATTGGCAACTGGATCGCATGAAGTTGATCGCGGAAAAATAAACGATTTTTTAAAATCATTCAGATTTCGAATTTCTTGGGTCATAATTGTGAATGATAAAATATTGATCAGATATCGAAAACTCGGTTTTTACTTGATCAATGAGATAATCTTGAAATATGGTGATCAATGTTCCTCAATTTGAATGAAGAAGGAAAGTCTTTCATGGATGAATATGCGCGCGCACAATATAGTGTTGTAGAAAAATAGCGAGAGAACTTCTTCTCATGTTTAACAATATAAAAATTTCTGCTTTGGCGTTAGGTTAAGCTTTCCAATCTATATCAAATGTCTTTTAGAATACTGAATCCTCTCATAACCTCACGACTCCGGAAAATCTCAGAAAGTTTTAAACTCTATCTAACCTGATCTGCGCATCCGAGCGCCAATGACGTACCATCAATGTGGACTTGCGTGACATTACAATAAAAAGAGTAATAAATGAAGAAATTCAGAACACGTAGAGTGAGTATCAAATTTCAAAAATAAAGAGAAATTAGGAATTCGACTTTGCGATTGACCCGAACAACTACTGGTCGTTTGAATTTCGATTTTTTTGTTTTCATTTCTGCGTCGATCCTGAGAATACAGCATTCACCTGCAACTCCATCACATTTCAATTCACCATGATCTATTCTCAGAGCCTAAAACCTCAGACAATGTCAGAATAGCGCTACCCATAGCGTTAAAGAAATTGAGAAAAAAGGTTCGAGGGGAGACGTTCATGACACTGGAGCGGAAAAAAGGGAGAAAGTCCGTTGTGATCGGTTGGCCCAGTTTCACAAAAAAAGGAATATAAAGCCTGGATGACGACTAAATCGATTTTAAATTAAATCAACACCCTTCTGAGCACGAGTGCGCGCAACGAGTGAACAATACCTTCATCGCTGAATATCATTCCCCGAAAAAAACAGCTAGTCGATGAATTTCGGCGAAAACTTGATGAAGCATTAAAAACTATTTTTTGTGAATTCATCTGATTTTTTTATAATTTCCATGGTATTCAAACTAAAAATAATCGAACATGTAATTTTATATTGGGAGTTAAAGATAAAATAAAGCTAATACATATTTATGGTGTAATTAACATTCAAAAAATTCGAAACGATAGAGAAATAGCATTTCTAATAAATCCATCTACCCGAATTCACGATTTTTTTCGATCATCCTCTATTGATCAATCTTCCTTCCGCCAATTTTCGTATAAAATTAACTTTACAGTTGAATTGTTGAAAAACTCAACCAATGGGATGTGAAAAATCTTCGGTCACTGTCTACGCCATTTTACGATTCAGCAGAAAACCGGTTCTCAAGACGCTTCGGTTTTTTCGCGAAATGAAAAAAAAGCAACTAAAATGAACATAGCGCGGTGTTCTCTGGTACACGAACGACGTGGAATGTTGATTTTTACTCTATGTTACCGCTGGGAACCTAACCTACATTATTATCATGGTAAAGATGATAGGGCGAGATGATGCTGGATGAATAGCTCGGCCACACAACCGGGTCGTTATCGGGCAAAAGGCTAACTCTCATGATGATAAATTTACATTTTTTAATTATACTTTATAGTATTTGAAATTAGTCCATTTCATATTTCTAAGTATGCATAAAATAGACTGCTTGTATATAAACAATATAAGCTTGAGAATTACACTTGCGGTAAATTCAAAGATAATGGAAAACGGTATAGCAATGAAAGACAGCTCGATCCCAGTCGAAATCACATTTTTATTGAATTATCGTTTTGATTGTTTGAAGAAAAAATTTTACAAAATTAGGATTTAACTGTTGCAATGAAAGATTGAAATCTTGTATACGTTTTTCCTGTTTATATTTGGCTGTGAAAAAAATGAAGAAATTTTCCAACAGTAAAAAAAAGTGATTAACCGACGAGTCAATAGTTTCTATTGTTTCTTGATGAGGAATGAATGAATATAATAACTAAGTCATAGTTTTTTTTTATAAACGAAGAAAAATTTAATAGTTATACCAGGTAATCTAAAGTTTTTGCAATTTTTTATTTTAGAGAATTCCATGAAATAGAATTGTGCTGAGGATTGAGATGTAATCTCGAAAAGTGTGTAAATGATTGAGAATATATTTGTAATTGATTGCATACACTGTTAGTAAAGTGTACTTGCAGCGTCAAGTAAAAAGAAAATGATCCCTTGAATTTTCAATTTATTGACAATTTAATTGTATTTGTTGTTGGATTCTCAGGATAAGCTTAAAAATTCAAGCTTTCATTGAAGAATCAATTATCATTTGAGATGAAGAACCCAATATTCTTAAATTTTCAAGATAAATGAAGAATCTAGTGAGCAGTCTAATTAAAATGAAATTTCGCCTCATATAATTGAAAATTCAGATGGCCTTGTAACTGAAATTTTAAATAAATTTTAACAGTGTAGCATTTCTGAAGATTGGCATAGAAATACGAAGAAAAAAAATGATGAAAAATTACGTGACAATTCCATAAACGTGGGACAAAGCGTCAATTCATAAAAAAATACGGAACACAATTTTTTATGCAATGACCCTTCGCCTTACGTTTATAGAACTGTCATGTAATTTTTTGTGGATTTTTTCTCCGTGAAGGTATCGTTTTTACTATTATATTAAATAGGAAAATGTATGTATGGAATTGTTGATGGACAATATTCGGTGAAAATAAAACAGGAATGTAGGGTTGTCCTGGAGGAATCCACTCGATCCCTTGGCCAAAAATATTTTTATTACGCCTACGTGACGGGAATTCGTTGGACAGTTTTATGTGGAGGCTTGGTTCGGATTCATTAGCAAGCGGTTTTTGTTCTCACTAACCTATAGCACTCTCTCATTACCATTTTTCAATCGTCACTGTCACTCCAAGGGGTTTCAGGCACCTGCGGCGGTGGAGCACTGGTTAATGATGATTGAGTGAATCGCATCGCAGCTAATCGAGTAATCATGTCTCAGTTGCAGTATTTGACAAGAACAGCTTTGCTCCAACTTCATGAGGCTTTATATTTTTTTATCGGTAAATATCGGGAACCGCTCCACCACGTCTGTCTCCACGATTCAACTCACACGTTGTGGAGACAGACGTGGTGGAGCGGTTCCCGATATTTACCAAAATGCCTGCTGAGCTGGAATAATTATTGATTTCTGAGTTAAAAATGCGGAAGGCCAAAATGGGAAAATTCGGCTTATTCAATTGAAAAATGAATTTTTAGGATATGCAGAACCCGCGAATCGAAAGGATAAAGTGAAATTTTCGCGATACAGGTTTAAACTGATCCATCATTCTCCCATCGAAGATGACCCTGATCAATCCTCGACACGGTTTCGGTTACGCATCACCGTTTCGACTCGACAATTTACAGTTGGAGGATTGAAAAAAAATGCGGGTCACGAGGTTGTTATTCTTTTTTCCTTGTACACACGAAACCGGTTGGTTTTCGGGTGTCTCGAGTGACTTTCGAAAATTCCTGGAGAGAAGATGACGTTGGTACATCCCAGACCTTTCACGGACCAATAGTTTTCCCCATCATATGTTTATTTACTATAAAAGTGTAAATAGGCTTCACAGTCATGCCATTCCTTGAAAACTCACTCGTTTCTCTATCTACTTCACACCTTGTCACCGGGACTTCTCAACGAGAGTAATGCAACATTGTGTCATGATTATCAAAGAGATTACTATCCAGGGAATCGCTACGGAAGTTCATCTTCACGTGTCCGTGGGATTAACTACGTATAAACAGCATGGAGAAGTGATTTGATTAAATTTGCGCCCTGAATTAATTCTAATTTTTTCCTTATTTTCAAGGTAAAAAAAATTTGATAATTCATCAGAAATTTTTAGATTGTAGAAAACAGTTTTCTTGATCCTAATAAATTTGTTTGCAGATACAAAATGGTAAAAATCTCAGAATAAAGTAAGATAACTTGTTGCCACAAAGGACTCTAGAATTCTCACTGAATTATTATTTTTTAAGGATGTTACGGCGTAATCAGAGAGAACCAGGGAAATATAGGGAAAATTATGATTTTTTAAATTAGAATTTTTAAAACTATTACAAAACAGTTTGCAAAATTTCAAATCAATCACAAGCGGAAATAAAACAGCAAATTTTCGAACAAAATGTGATTTAGGGAATAGCAAAAACAATTTGGGTTTAGAAAACATCCAGCCATCCTCATGAAACCCACCTCAAGTTTTGGGAAATGGATATATTTGACAAAAATCACGACAATTGCAAGCACAATTTAAGAAAAATGATTTATGGCGCGATCCTTTCTATCCCTTGGGACATAAAGTAGCATAGGCACCATGGTCGAAAAGTGTTTTCTCCCGGGAGTGCATAATATACTATTAAAAGATAGTAAATAATTGTAAAGTGCGCGCGCAGCTTGAATGCCCAACAACGTCACAAGAACCGATCGTCTGAAGTGAACGCGGAGGGAACAAATGCATCTAATGATAGAATGGGCCCTTTTATTCATAACTGAGGTTCATGAATATAAAAAAATGCAAAATTTATGGATAATGAATAATGTTAAAAAATTACATGAAACAAACGTTATGCCCCAGATTTTGGTCAATTAGGTTATTGTTAAATAACTGGGCATCCAGCATTGTCAGCGTGACACTAACCAGCATAATTAGACTATGATGTCCAAGTAATAACACACATAATTAAAGTAATAAACTCTTATATCTAAATACCTATAAAATATTGGTGGGATTTATTTCTCCATCTAAGAGCCTACAATGTATATAAGTACACTCTACGCAGGGTACAACTCAAGTTTTTAAATAGACAAGATTTAAATTAAATGGTGAATTTTATGGAAACATTAACAGGAGGGGTTAAATGGAAGATTTCTCATTGGTTGTCCCATTTTTCGATTACTTCTATGTTTTTCCTTGAATATGATCTCATATTTATTTTTATCCCGGAGCTGTACAGCTTACTCTACTTGCTCTATTATCACAACGACAATGAAAAATGAAAATAATTACTTGTGATTGAACGAATGGATCCAATCCGGGCGTAGCAAATAATAAAACTGATAAAATTAACCACTGTATATTAGTTAACTGGGATCGCGATTCAATGAAAACCAGTTGAGATAGACAGGGCACGGAGAGCTGAATTTACTGTCACTCAATTGCTTTTCTTCTACCTCAAGATTTTTCAGACATGAATACTCTGCGTTCTGCACTTTTGTACTTCTTGCATTGGACCCAAGTTGAGCAATTTGTCACAGTCTCATCTTTTCCAAGTGCAAACAACGAAAGGTGATATCCTGAGGATTGAGTAGAATTCTTCACTTATTGTCCTCCATTTGAGGAGATTGAGAGCCTCATCAACCTGCTCACTAAAGGGTTCGGTCAATATCCCAAGTTTCTCAAAGGCTGCGACGACGTCATCAGTTTCAACAGGAGATTTTAATATCATGAGGAAAGATTCAATACGCGAATCTATCGAATTCAAGCTAGTACTGTGTGCAATTAGAGTGCTGCATTCGAAGGATAATTTGTTCCTTTAATTATTATTCTTTTTCTTATTGAGTCATCTCTAAATCATTTTCATGACGTGAGTATAGCACAGGAAATGGTGGATGATATAATTTGGTAAGGGAATGCCAATAGTGTATTCCCTTTAGTACAAAAGTTTTTTTCTATTTACATTATGGCTGTTACACTAGATGAATATATATAAGACATATATGAATGGTGGAACATAAATATATAGGTATTAGTATTATATTTGTTCCGTCCGTAGTTGTGACGAGTTGCCGACTAGAGTTGATAGTTCGTTTAGATTTTATTTTATTTTTATCACATCATCCGGCTGGCCGGATGTTTCTCGAACTACCCTTTCCAGGCAGCATCTCGTCACGTCCATAAGGGTACCAGACGAAAGTCCCTCCCATCCCCAGTCTTTGATTGCGCTCTACTGCGCAGCTTTTAACGCGTTGCTTGTATGGCGCTACGTTTAAACATTAGAATTCAACGATACATACGACGATACGACTCAATTTTCGAGTAGCTGTTGCAATAAATCT